AGGTCACTCCCGCTATAAACCCAGGGCCTCTGGTGGTGTGACGGTGGGGGAGGGCAATGTGTCCCTCTGTCCTGGCCGCCCTTCGTCCTTCTGCGAGAACATCCCTCCGCAACTTTTTCTCTTGGGCATAAGCCCTCTTTGGGAGGAGAGCCCGCCCGTGATCTGGACGCTGGGAATCCAGGCGGGGGTAAGTAAGTAAGGAGCTAACTCTGACGTCCGCTGTTTTCGCGACCTCTGGGATCCGATCCACCACCCCTCAAGACACACGTATACCTGAGATCTTCTTACACCCAATGTCTCCTACGAGCCTCCCTCCCTCTCCCTCTCCCTCCGCCCCCCCCGGACAGTGTACCTCGCGGTCTCTCCCTTTGCAACTTTTTCTCTCCCCAAGTCACTCCTAGCCTCGGTAGTTTTTAGTCCCCCCCCCAACAAAAAAACTGTCGGTGGTTCCCCTTTAAGCCGACTCTGCTCCACATTTCAGTCGGACCCGATCGGTGATTCCCTAGAAAGAAACTCGCCTTCCCCCACGACCACCACCTCGCCTACCCCCTCCCCCCCGGATTTCTGTAAGGACTTCGTTGTCAGGTAAAAAATGTCAAGGCGGAGGAGAGGGGAAGGAGGGCTGCCGCGCTCGGTCTCTGTTTAAGCGCCGCCGAGTCGCCTCCGATTTAGGGAGGCCCTTGTCGGGATTTTCAAGGTACGTGAGACATTTAATGCATCGTTTTGCCGCCGGCGCCGCCGCCGCCTCAACGAGTTTCGTTTGGCCCAAGGGAGAATTTGAACCCAGAGCTCTCAGGGATCCTAGTCTAGGTATCCCTCTATCCACTACACCCCACGACGACGGGTTAGCCGTTCCTCAGTCTCCGTCAAAGGAAGTCCCGCCGAGCCCTGTTGGCACCTCAAGGGCTTTTAGCCCAAGTTTTCCCTCGGCGGCAGCGGCCGTGTGGCTGGCGGGCCACGAAGCGAGCGCCGGGCAAGCCGGGCCCGCCTTTTAAGGTGCCCCGGGACTCTCCCGCCCTGGTGTGTGTGTGTGGTTTTTTTCCCCCCACTCTTCGGGAAAGCGAGCGGAGGAGCGCCGCTTTTGGCCCGAGGGAACCCGCGCCACTTCCGACGCAGAGGCGAGGAGGGTGCCCGGCGCCTTGAGGGGGGGGCGGGTTTGGCTTCCGTGAAGCGAACGCGGGTTGCCCCGAGCCGAGAGAGAAAGGACCCTCGGAGTGCCTCGGGCGGCACAAGCCTTGTGCAACGTGTGTATGTGTGTGTGGGGGGGGGGAAGGAGGCAGGCAAGGAAAAGCTTCAAACTGGGGTTCACCTGTGGGGCTGGGGCTCTCGGAGCTGGGGGGGGTTAAAGAGAGAGGAAACGGTGTGGCAGAACCCATGAAAAAATGGACGCAGGATGTGTGTGTGTGTGTGTGTGTATGTGTGAAGGGAGGAAAGTTGACGCCGTTGGCACCTGGGGCCATTCGGGACTCCAGGTCCCAGCATGCAGTGCTTCTGCAGCTGCACCTGGTTCAGGTATGGGAGCGGCAGGTTACAGCACGTTGCCTGAGCCGGGGAAGGGACAGGGCAGAGCAGAGCGCTTACACACACACACACTCGCACGACACAGACACACACACACACCCCGGAGAGGGAGGGGTGGACTGGCAGGCAGGCCCAAGCCCCAGGCCCTGTTGGCACCAGTCTTGAGCTGTGCTGGTGGTGCATTGGGGAGGCAGGAGGGCCTCCCCGCAGCCCCCGAGACGGAACTGCTGTTGGCATTGTCCCCTGGCACCTGTTCTGTGGCATGGGGAAGATTATAGCCCGGCTGGGGCGCGGGGAGGGATTTCTGCCGTTCCTGCCCCCCCCCCTTGTTCGGAGAGTGATGGCGCCAGGAGGCCACCAGCCAAACCCAAGCCTGCGTCCAGAATGGCAGCTCAAACCTCGGTGCCCTCTTCAGAATGAAAGGGGCCGTCCCAAGATGAAAGCACCCTCCCCACTGACTTAAGGCTACGCCCGAGCTCCAGCAGGGGGCGCTCTTTTCAAGGCAGTGGCGGGGGTCCCCCACCCCACCCCTCTTACTCCCAGGACAGACGGGAGTCCGGCGAGGTAGGTTTTCTTGGTGGCGAGTTTGGGGGGGGGGAGAGAAGAGGAAGACCCAGCTGGGGACTCCCATTCTCTGCACCCCAGCTTCAAAGTGCCGCAGGCCTATAGGAAGGGGTGGCCTCTGTGTGTGTGTCTGTGTCTGTGTGTGTGTGTGTGTGTGTGTTGGGAGGAGAGAGTCTAGCAGAAGCTGGCAGAGGCAGACCAAGCCTTTGAAGTGCCCATCAGCCGCTGCCGCCACTCGGGTTACAACTGCTTGGATCGGTGCCCGGGAAGGATGGACGAGGCAGGAAGCTTTGATCTCCATTACTCCAAAACAGCGCCCTCTAGGCCTCTTCCCACCCGCCTGCCCTTCCCTGCAGACGCGAAGTAACCCCCGATGCGTGTATAGCTTCCAGACGTGCCCCTCTGGCCATCGAAGGGGCCAGGATTCACTCCCGTCTTCTCTTCCGACAGGTGCCTGCAGGACGCCCCCTACCATGGTGCCCAGGCTTCCCCTGTTCCTGCTGGCGCTGCTCTTCCGCTGCTGTCCGGGCCACAGCAGCCTCACCGGTGCGCCCCGTGTCTACCTAACCTACAAAGGTAAGGGGAAGCTCAGAGAAGGGTCGGAAAGGACAGCTGGGGCGGGCGATGGCTGCCCAGCCTCCAGATGGGCAGTGCTTGTGGGTCAGAGAGTGTCCCCGGATGGGATCCGGTCACGGCGGAGTTGGAAAACAATACTTTTTGGACTACATCTCCCAGAATCCCCCAGCTGGCATAGAACCTGGGATGGAAGAAGGGTTTCTTTCATTCGGTAGCAAAGAGACCCCCGTTCAGGTTGCAAAACGTGTGTTTTATTTTTATTCGACGTTTTGAGTTATAGACCCTCCCAGCCCCTGCAGCTGACGGGACAGCCTAGCTATGGTGTCTCAGAGCAGCGGGCTAACACTGGAAGCAAAACAATGCTAAGCCAATCAAATATTAGAAAAATATAGTAATTAGCTCCCTGCTTGATGAAAGAAAGTTGGAGAATTGTTTGAGTTTTAACTTAGCTGATTAGATATGCTTCAGACAGCATATGAATAAGACAACGGTTTTGAAGCAAAAAAAATCTGTTTTGTTTGGGTCTTTTAAAAAAATATGAATACAGATGTGTAGCCGCTGGCACCATGTAAAAATAAGTTACGTATTCTCTTCTGTATGAATGAATACCTTTGAAAATAATCATGTGTGTTTTTATATTACAAGCAATTAACAATTCAAAGTGCAGCCTGATTATCTACAGGTTTCTTTTATCAACCAAGATTTCTAACTGATCAGTCTGGTTAATTGACAACATTGCAGCCTTACTAGTAGTACAAAATTATCATGGGCAGGAGGGGGTCGGATTGGGGAGAGAGAAAGAGGGAGTTTATTCTTTACACATCATGTTTGTGCTTCATATCATTGTGATTATTTCCAGGGCAACCCTTTTTGCTTTCTCTTATAATTGTGAACATTAAAGGAGAAACCAGGTGGACTGCCCTGAAAATAATCGGTCAGTGTTGTGTACTCACAGAATCATAGGGTGGGAAAGGATCGAAAGGCTCATCTAGTCCAACCCCTTTGTTTGTGTCCATTTATTTATTCGTTTGTTTTCTTTTTTGCTTAGACCAGTGGTTCCCAACCTTGGGTGCCCGGATGTTCTTGAACAACAGCTCCCAGAAACCCTGGCCAGCACAGCGAGTGACGAAGGCTGCTGGGAGTTTTAGTCTAAGAACATCTGGGGACCCAAGGATGGGAACCCATTGGTTTATTGCAAATGTATATATTTATTTATTTATTGGTATGCCATGGGAAAATGCTTACATCCCAGATGGTACGGAGGTGTAGCCTCAAATTTAAAGGCATAAAAAACCAGAGGAAAATAGAGAGTCTGTATGTTAGTCAAGTTGTGGTCAGGTTATGAGAGTAAGCAGCAGCACCATGAAAAAACTGTGGCTACTTCCCTGGTGCTTGTGGCATCTTTGCTTCCATGGCGGATGAGAGCAGAGGCAGCCCCCTGCAGAAATACAGGACGGCACAGCAGCAGTGGAGTACAGTTATTAAGACAGAGCATTGCTTTTATTAGCTCAAAAAAGTGATGGGTGTTGCTAAGCCAGTCCCTACCTCACAGTCTAATAGACTTCACAAGGTGGTTGTGAGAATGCAGTGGGATAGCTGCCATGTATGCTGCTAACATGAGATATTAGGAGCAAATGTGAGATATATATTTATATTTCTATCTGTCTGTAAGGGAGTGTGAGCTGGGTGGATAGCCCAGGGGTTGAGGTATCTGGGTGCCGAGCCAGAAGTTGGGGGTTCAGTTCTCCGCTGTGCCTCCTGGGAGAAGGGCCAGCCTGTGTGGCCTTTGGGCAAGCTGCACGGTCCCAGGGAAACCCCCCCCCCCAAGAAGAAGAGAATAGGAAACCACTTCTGAGTACTCTCTTCCTGGAAAACTTTAGAATGGGTCTTCATAAATCAGCATCAACTTGATGGGATGCAGTTATTAAAGAAATATAGGAGCCCTGTGTGTGTGCGCACATGCATGGGTGCACATGTGAGGCATATTTTCCTGTGTGATCAACCTTTCCAGGATAGCACATAAGGTCTGTTATTCACGGCAGAAGACTTACTTTGCGTCAGACCAAAGGTCTGGTTTTGAGCATCAGTCAGGGTCCAACCAAATCCTCAGGGAGATTCATAATGAAAGCCTACCTAAAGTGTCTTTTCCCCACTGCTCCACCCTGACGTGGGGCAGCTGAAGAAGGCGGGGGGTCCACCACTTGCTGTTATTGGCACTGTCCTGGAGCAACAGGTTCCATAGGCTAAGAAAGATACTTGTGGAGCATTATGTTGGCAGGTGCTTATGCCTTGTGAGAAAGAACTCCCTTTCCCCAAATCAGCAAGGGGAGAAGCAGTGCGGATCAGACACTGGAAGGGTTAGTGTTTTGAGTTGCAGCCTTTGGGGATCCTCTGCCAGCGTGGCGGGCTTGTGGGAGCTCAAGTGTCGGAAATGGCCACAGGTAGTGTCAAATTCCCAAGTGGCTTTCTGAGCAGCCACGGTCAACTGTGTATGCCGAGGAAAGCCATTCAGACAGAGGTGTTCAGGCAAACTAGACATTTTTCCAAAAGTCGGCACTCGTTGGTGGCTGAGAAGTTTCATGTTAAAACTATGCACATTTAGGAGCTCTTCCATATTGAAGTCCTGCTCCTACATTCAACTATGCACTTTTGGAGTAGGAAGAGTGGACTTGCTGCCGAACAGGCCTTTGTGCCTACAGGTAGGGAGTGCGTGCGTGGTGTGCGTTGATGGCCGCTTTTAGCCAAGCAGAGACAGTTGGGGGCCTCTGCTTCCTTTCTCTCTTCTCCAGCCTCCCTCCCCCACCCCACCCCAATATAACTCCTGTGACCTTGGTGGGTTCCCCCTACACTCTCTGTTCTCGGGGATTCCAGGATCTGGTTACTTGCCAGCCACAGGGGAAAGGATTTCCCAGAAGGGCTTAAAATACCCAGCATGCCATTCAGAGAAGGGGCTGGAGTACACTTTAGATAGATTCCCCTTTCCAAAGCACATTGTGGGGAAGGGGGAGAAGGAGAAAGAGAGAGAGAGAGAGAGAACGCCCTGGGGACAGAGAGGGGCTGGTTTAATTTCTAGGGTTTGCATGCTACAGGACCTCCCCAGAGGCACCTTTCCTCCATGGCACTCCTTGCAGGGGCTTCCTCGTGCTTTCCTAAAGGGACTGGGACTGGCCCTTGAAGTGTGTGCATGCGGGAGGGAGGGAGAGGGAGAGGGAGAGAGGGGCAGAAGGAGAGGTCTTTGGCCAAACGACAATTCATTCCTTTAGGCAGCAATAGCTTGGCTATAAAAGGCAAAGCTCCGGACATCACTCTGATCTGCACGGTTGTGTGTGCGTGCATGTGTGTGCAGACATGCAGGCACATGTGTGTTGTTTGTGTTTTCACACCACAGAACTGCGTCTGAGAGGCAGATGCATCTCGAGGGTATAGACATTCTGGATCAGGTCACTGTTCAACGGAAAGGGAGCATGTTATTTGCTGTGGAGTTTGACCAGCTCATCATCCGTGCCAGCGGGGTGGGTTTATGGTTTAACCTGGGCATTAATATTTGAGAACAGTGTGGGTATGGGGGGGGGAGAGGCTGGACAGTGGCATTTATGCACAGAGATCTCTTGCTTATTACAATGTTGTCTGCACGGTGGGTTTGGGCAAAGGGGTGGGCAGTTGCACTGCTACCTAATGTGGGGCTTGTGTTTGGCATAGCTTGGGGAAGTGACCTTTTTTTTTTTTTGGACCACAGTTCCCAGAATCCCACAGGCAGCATGACTCCTGGTATGTAACTTGGCCAAGCTAACTGAGGAATTTTGGGAATTGTGGTCCCGAAGAAGTAGCATTTCCAAGGTCTGATGTTCAGGAAGATCACAAATTTTGTTTTGTCCAGATGGTGTTCCCACCGTGTTCCAAAGCTGCACGGAGTGTTCTTATACCCGCTAGAGCTGGTTCATTTAATCAACAAGGGAAATGAGCCTGGGATAAAGAAGCCCCTGGACTGAACCTTGAGCTCATCAGGTGGCCTTGGAAAAGCCAAGCTCACCCTCCAGCCCCAGGTAGCCAAAATGCTACGGACAGGCCATCGGGGCTAATTGCAGTACAGAACGTTAATACCTCTGAAGAACCCATCCGACCAGGCTGTTGCAAGTAGATGATGCCCATGAAGCACTTTGGGAACACGGACGCCCAGCATCGGGGATTAGGAACCTGTGGGCCTCCTGTTAGGCCAGTCTTTGGTCAGTCCTAGCCCATCTGACCGAGTGCAGGCACCTGATGATAGTAGTTAATCAATACGTGGAGGACTGGAAGTTCCACTGCCCAGGGATTCTCTCTGTACAGTTAATGAAAAAGCAATGGGCAAAACCCAGATGGTAGACCCAGTTAGAATAGGCACAGTGAATGAATGGGTCTCTTTAAGTCAACACTTACATAAATCTCAGTAGTTCAATGTGTCTACTCTATTCGGAGGCTAACCATAGGATGTGTCTATCATAGGAGCTGTTGGAGGGTTGGAGCACCTGAAGGGGGCCCGGGAGAAGCCTCCTTGTGCCTCCCAGGCAAGTGGCCAATCTGTTCTGGCTTGGGGGAATCTGCATGGCTCTGGCACCCCACCAGGAGGAGGGATCAGTAATCTCTTGCTGTATACTTTGTACCTAAAAACCTTAGGAGGGTAACCGTAGGTTGGAATTTGACTTGATGGGATGTGAGCTTGGGGAAGTGACCTTTTTAGATACAAACTTCTTGTTGTTTAGATACAGAACTTATATACTCACAGATAAAAAGTTTTGCAATTAATTCTTTTCTCTAGTAAACAAAGTCTAAGTATTCTAAGTCTGTCATGTTACAATTCTAACTCGATGAGCAATCATTTCATGCTTTTGATGGCATAGCTGTATCTTTTATTTACTGTTGTAGTCCAGGGTATGGAAGGCTGGCTGGATAGCTCAGTGAATTAGGTAAGGAGTTCAGTTCCTGACTCTGCATCCAGGGGGAAAAGCCAGCCTGTGTAGCCTTGGGTAAATTGCACAGTTCCAGAGTGACCACAGAACAAAAGCTATGGTGAACTACTTCTGAATACTCTCTACTGAGAAGGGTCACCATTAGTCAGAACACACTTGATAGCAAATAATTATTATTATATGATGGAGGAGGGATATCACTGGCTTGTGCTGCATCTTTTGATGCTATCTAGTGTCCTGTTGTGGGTATTGAGGACATGAAAAGATAGATAATAGAAAAAGATAAGAGTTTAGTAGAGACTAACCGTTGGTAGCATTATGATTTTTTTAAAAAAAAAGTCATATAAGAGCTACTCTTTTAGTTGTTTTTGAGAAATGAGAAAGTCAAGTGTTTGTCTCTTGATGATTACAGCCATAACTCTACCTAAGTTTTGAAAGTTTACCCTTGGCCCTTAAGCAACTTCAACTAATTACTTTTAAAAGTAGTGTTCCAAACTATTTGTATTGCTCTGCAGAGTATGGGAAATAGGAGTATACGGAATTTAACCAGTCCTTCTAACTGTCCATCTGCCTTCCCAGCTTCCATGTAAGACGGAAAGGTAGACTCCTCTTAGGATCTCGCTCTCCCAGGTTGAGACAGAGCTTTTGATTTGAATTTGTGCAAGAGGGTGGTATGAAGCCAGGATGCCCCTAGGCAACTTCCTAACAGCAAAAAGAGAGTAAGAACCAGATTTACAGCTGCAGTGAAATCCACCACAGTCTTCCATTGCTTCTATTGTTCAACCTCAGAGGCTCATGAATGATAGATATGGCCAAGATCAGTTAAACTTCCTACTCGTTAAAGCAGATACCAGTTCTAATGGAGGATGAAAGTTTAAATAAATTATGTGTGTGGTAGGCATCTGAAATGGACGTGGTTTCTCAAAACCCTAAAACAGTCGACCAAGTGTGATTTGCATTAATGCACTGTGCAGAGAATGGGTGGGTGATTTTCTTGTTCCTTGTTTTGTTTTGGGGTGTATTTTTTTTGCCATGATCTTTCTCAATGTGTATGCAAAGATAACAAGGAGTTTGGTGGCCTTTCCTGTCTTGCCGTGGCCTTGTGCAAAACATCCAGAGAAGGTCTCCTGTCATCTTAAAGACTGACAGGAATTTGTTTGGTGTGTGCTTTTGATGACAAAAGTCCACTTCATCTGATTCAGCCGTGTGTCTGCAGTCCAAAAAAGTTTCAGCCCAAGAAGTTAGTCTTTTAAGTGACACTAGATCTTAAGGAGTCCTTTTGCTGCAACAGACCCCCCACCCCCTAAAAAAAAAAACCACCCTGAAAACACTCCATTATCCATCCATCTAAGGGCCAGGGAAGCAGGATGGTGAAGGTTTTTCATAACGCGAAGTTGTTCGCTTTCTTTCTCATTTGTACTGCTTAGCAACTATCTCCTTGTTTGACCAGCAACAAAACTGCCAAATTTGTCCCAGGGAGATTCCAAATTTATCCAGTGGAAACGTCATGGGTGAACTGGTTGCTCAAAGACAACAAGCAGTCCTTGGGGACTCACTGGGTCTAAAGACCACTGGTAGTAGCATTAGCATCACCTTTATTTCCATAGCAATCATCTAGGGCAATTTCACCCTCTTTACCTGTTACCCTAGTGACAAGAGGATTTTCACTGTGCATACTCCGCTGTTGATCAATAGGAAGAAGGGAAAAAGCAGGCCTGGAGAAGTTACTTTTAGCCTTCTACAGTACCTCCCGGAGTTATAGTCTGATACGTATTTAATCCAGTTGGTGTCTCCTGAGGAAGGAAGAGGCTTTCTGGATGTTCTGCTTTTAATACCTTTTCTGTCATTGTTTATAATGCCTGATAATCCCATATTGCTTGCTTATGTACAGGTTCCGGAAAGGTTAGCACCGCTCCTTGATATACTACCAGTGTTATATAATGGGCATTGTATGTCAGATCTGGGTGGTGTGCCTAACAACATCCTATCGCTGGGCATCTTGCCATGGGGGCTGCATGACATTTATTGTGGGGGCCAGCGGAGGGGGGGGAGAGAAAGGATGACAGTCTTCCACCTGCCATGTGTTAATGCTTGGAGAATGCCATCAGGTTTCCTGGATCCTGCCCCCAGCTTTCCAAAGTCAGGAAGGGAAAGAGGCCTGCTAGCTAGGGATCCTTTGCTGCTTTTCTCTGATTTACCTTTCAAAAAAGAAATTAGAGAAAATTGGAACTTGATTCCTGATCCAGCTAGACCTATTTTCTTCCCCACCCACCCC